TTAAGTTAATAATCTCTAGTTGAAATCATTTAGATTTTATAAAATTTCCTCTAAGTCGGATGAAAGTTTGTCGAAGTATAGCATTAGAAATTCTTTACAAAATAAAAAAGTTACATAATAATTTTTCCTTTAATTCTATTAAACTCTTGATTTTATATATAACTCGGATGATGTTATTTATAATTTAATAAACTTTTCTCGAAATTAAAATAAGTGTACTTCAAGTTTTAAATACATTTCTGTATTTAATTTTTAATTTTATTAAATTCATGTATATTACTATGTGCTTTATTATTCGATATTGAGTAATGTTTTTTGAATTAATTTACTTATCTGTAGGAAAATATGAAAAGGTGTCTATTGCTTAAATCCATCTCTTCTCTATTTTAATGGAATAGAATATGATAAGTCTAGAAATGATGAACTAGATATGGAGTGTTGAATTAATTAATTAGAGGTTTCAATTGTTTGGCTTAAAATTATTTATTTATTATAATTTTCATTATTATTTTAATTCATATTATAAATTTATTAATTTCTATCAACATAATAACATTAATTATGTTGTAACAATAATTTTTTATTATTTTTATGAATCTTATTATAACATTATTATTTTTTTGTATTTTAGCAGCTCTCATTTTGCTTCAAAAATTATATTTGTAAACAAAAACCAAGTTTTTGAACATTTATCTCTAACTATCCGTACAAATTTCTTTAATATCCACCATTATCCATTATTGAAGATATGAAAAGTATTCTTATAATTCTTTGTAAATACATTTTATTTATTCAAAAATGAATTCTGCTCAATAATAAAATAACAAATATCAACCGCATTCGCTCTGCTTTAAGTATTTATGACATAAAAAACATCTTCGGTATTGCTTATTTCTTTTAATAAATATATAAATGTCATATTATAACTGACATTAATATATTTCATTTATAAGTAAAAAAGAGCAAAAAAAAGTAAAAAAAAAAAAGAACAAGGAAAAGGAATCAATTTGAAGTATTTTATTTATTCGTTCAATTCAACAAACATCATGGCGTATGAGTGTTTTAAGTGCACACTTAAGTAGTTACAGAAAAATAGATTTTAGTAATCAGAAGGACTCAATTCTGACTATTTTATATATATATGCTACTATTCTATTTCATAAATTGATAATATGTTTACGTAAATAAGAAAATAGATAGAGCAAATATTCTCATTTTTTATTAGACAATTCATAGAAATTGCCGAACTTAACAATATAAAAAATTTTAGTAAAATAAATAAAAAAAAAATTTGTTAACCTACTTAAGCATAATTAAATATTATTTAAACCATATGGCTTTATAATATTATAAGAAATTATAATTTTTGAGTTATGTATGAAAATAATTCAGTACACTTGTACTGGCTTGTACAATAGTATCATTGGAGGAACTAGCCTTATTTAGTTGGCAGCCATTGCATGAGAATAATATGCTCAATTAGTTTTATTGCATATTTTAGCATAAATTTAAAGGAAAACTGTGACGCACCCACCTATTTTCGCATATTAAGTATGAAAACTTTAAATATTAGCTGCGCCAGCCCTTGAATCCGATCGGGGTCTATGTGCAAATGCTTGTGAGTGTAACTAATTACATAGTTAATGTGCTGCATAATAATTACTTAAAATTGTCTAGTGACACATAGGGAAGGAAGAAGTAGCACACAAACACACCAGTCATACACGCAGAGTATACAATGCTCAATACACAGTACAGAGTACACAATTACACAGTTATGTACACACTGAAATAACAATTAAAGTCAGATAATTTTAGACTGAAGTCAATTTTACGAAACTATAATAGCAACAAAGTTGGCAGTATTAAGAAATTTAAGTTTCTACAAAAGACTTTCAGGGTTTGTTGCCTAATAATATGCAGTGAAATATATTTTTTGATGTTTTGTTTGTAGTTGTAAGTGGCGTTTAGTCTAGCAAATTTACTGTATTCTTCATCACTAAGTGGAAGTTTTTACGTTGTCCTTGCGCCAGGATTGCTATGCAAGGTTCAAGCATACAGAACTTTATGTAGTTTGGAAAGGAGACTAAAATAAGGCGTAACTGCTACACAAATAGTCCAATAAGTTTCAAGTTAATTGATTTGTTAATAATTTAATAAATTCCTTGCAAATTTTAAACTTTTTGGTTTGTATAAATAAGAAGCTAAGTATGATACTTTACGAAGGGATTGTATATATTTGAATTTAAATGCATAACAAAATCATAACAGTTGCTAATTTATAATTGGGATAGAAGTTTGAAACAAATTAATTTACGAAGATTTTTAGTGGAAAAATAGTAATCTGCATCCACAAAAAAATTAATTATTTATAATCACATTATTTTGTTGTCCTTAATATAACATAATTTATATATAAATTAATAACGTTAGTATTTATCTATCCACCTGGTTTGCTTGCGTTAAGTAGTTTTATTAGCATTTAAGTGGATATAGGTATACGAATGTATATACATATCTCTGATACTCTGCACAATATTCATACTACATAATCTATATATGTGTACCGAGTGTAGAGTATAATATTTTGGCTTAGGACCAATACCTAAATTAACCACCACACAAATTTTTCATAAACTTTTAAATTCACCTGATTGATATTAAAAATACACTATCCTTATACAAAGAGTACATATAAGAGTTACAATATTTTTATTTAGATCCAATATAACAAAAAAAAAATGATTAAATTTAAATGCTGAATTGACCTATATGATGTTTATACTACGTAATCACAATATGAAGGCGCAGAATATGACTTATAAATTTTTTATTAATAGTCATACAGTAAAATCTGAATTTTCTTTGAAATTAATACGACTAATTGACTGTAAGCGGTACTTTTTTTTTCAAAAATATTTATTAATGCATTTCAAATAAAATAATTTAAAAAAATTTAATAATGTTTTATTTTTATTAAAAATTATTGTCGCGAAATCGCCTAACAGCCGGTACTTCGGCTAGAAAAGTCCTTTTGTACAAATTTCACTATTGATCACACAAAGCTCTTTAAAGATTTCTGAACAAAGTACAGAACTAAATCTAGAGAAGAGTGATTAATCTAGTCTGGTGACAGATATTCCATATAAAATAAATTTCTTCCGTGCGTTGTTAAAGCTGTGCGTAAGTGACTCCTTCGAGGCATAATCTGCATTCCGAATTAGCAGAATCATAGTTTTTGAAGGTGATATTTCAGACCATAATGATCCGTAATGAATTTTATTTTGCATATGTTGCAAAAATTCGTTGTAAACTATTAAATAAAATTTTTAAGTTTCTAAAATACCTGTATATCCTGGATAAATTTTCCTATATTCCATAAATTTTCTTTTAAGTTAGAAATACCAAGAGTTTTTTTTTGCTACATTTATCTACGCAAACTGGAATTAGATTACATATGAAAAGCATATTACCAAATATTAATGTTGCAACAAAACCGAATGGCAATTTGTAAGGAGCTAATGTTTTGATACTAAGCATACCCATCATTTACCTAAGCATACCCATAATTAGTCTCTGTAAAACAACTACACAATTGTTAAGTATGTATATCTCGATTGTTGTACGTTAAAATTCAAAATAGCTAAGACTTAGTATATTAAGAAATTTTAATTCAAACCAAAATAAAGTTATAATTGCGATTTTTGCATAATTTACTATATATAAGACTATGTTTTTCATCATATTATTTATGAGAAATCTCTGAGTTTATATGTAATTTACGTAGAAAACACTAATAACCTAATTTAATAAGTTTTGTTTTTACTTTAATTTCAGACCTTGCGTGTATACCACAAGTTTGCATCGTATTGCGCTTTAAGTGGCAACATAAGACCCACTAAATACCACTCTACAATTCGCAGAAAGTAGCTTGCTCTGTGCAACAATTTTCAAGGCAAAATGAAATAATACAGCAAAATCTACTCAGCTTCAGCTTCAACAAGAGCGGCACGTGTGAATGAATGCGCCTAAATGTAAGCAACAAAAAATAGTTACTTGCACGACAATTGAGTTGGGATTGCATTTTAGCATTGCACAGCGAATTCAACAGCAGATGTGATACTCACTGCTACATCAGTAAGACAACAAAAATATCTATTTTTTTTGTTAAATACTAGAATAACAATTACAACAACAACAACAATAACAGCGTTAGGGCAACGCAAGTGTTTGTCAACATAAACAATTGCAGCATATGTATGCATTTAATGCAAACGAGCACACACACATAGCAACAAACAAACAAACAAACAAATAGGCAGACATTCAGTGTAAATTTGAATTGCGTACGAGTGCACATGATTGTGCATACAAACACAGACGAGGCCTGGCATAAACAACAAAGCAACAACAAATATTCAAGCGAACTCAGAGCATTTTAAGTGTTGCTAAACAAAAGCAAAAACAAAAGCAAAAAAGAGACAAAAAAGAGACAAAATCAACTTGAAGTGACGCTTCCTGGCGCTACGTTTTTAAGTGCACTAACCAACTGTTCTCTAGTATGGATGTCTGCTGGAAGCAAATATTGCAAACAAGGACAAGGACAGTGAAATTATACTACTAAAAGGACGACAGTTGCTTCGCGTGTGACTGTGTGTTAAAATATTTCTGCAATTTTTTTTAAATTTGTTTCTTTTTTTGGTTTAATATTTCCCATGCATACACACTCGGTGGTCGTATACTTTTCATAGCTTCTGGCAGCAAATGAGTATTTTTCTGTGCTATTATTTCATTAGAGCAGTGAAAAATGACGTAAGTGTTGCAAGGACAAGCAACAATTGTTGTGGTATAATTCACCGATTTGCAGTAGTGAAATTAAAGCAAAAACTTTAACACAGTAAAAAGTAAAAATTTTAATTTGTAAACCACAAAGAACGCAGAAATAAATTTTGGAAATTATTCAAAATTTATATAAAATAAAAATGTAGCAACAAAAGCTTTCAGTGAATATATTTTTTGTGCTATTTTCCCAAAGCGAAACACTTATAATAACAACAAACAACATAAGCAACAACGGCAATATGTTGCTGGTAGTGAAATCAACATAATTGCACATAAAGCGAACGTAAGCCACAAAAACTGCCAATTTTACTGCAAAAGAGTACGAAAAAAATAAAAAAATTACAACGGAAAATTTTTGAAATTTGAAAATATTTATACACACTGAATTGTTGCAAATCACGTAAAAGTTTAACCGCAAAAGGATATTCTCACACGCAACTGAACCAGTTCAAGTAACACCAAAAATCGCTATATGTTGTAAAAAAGATACAAAAATTCTTAGCAACGACGATAACAAAAATACACGCCGCAACAAAATTAAAAACAACAAATTGCGGCCGCAGTAGCAGCCGCTCATTTGACCATAATAATGGTTATGTTGCTGCGTTATCGGCAATTTTTGAAAACAAAAAGTTTAACAGGTCCAGCAACAATATCTGCGAACTACAGAACAGCACCCACATTTATAATTTTTCTGCTATTATCATGTGTTGGCGGCGGTAGCAGTGGTTCCCATGCACATACCAGTAAAAACGCCTTCAGCATGAGTGGCAATAGTGGCGGTAGCAGTGGCAGGATGAGTAGAGCTACTCTGAACAACATAAATAGTCAAAAGTACAATAACATAAATATACGCACAGCAGCTTTGACATTAGCTGCCAGCAATGAAGTAGCAATTTATCCAAACGACTCAAATCGTAATATGGGTAACCTATATACATCCGCCGCTCTAACAGCATCATCATCATTATCATTAACATCGGCAGGAACATCAGGTGCAGCTGTAGCAGCATCACTAACATCTGCATCGGTGCCTTCATTATCGCTAACGGGCAGTTCTGCATTAAATGGCGCTTCATCCTCCTCGTCATCCGCATCCGCTTCAGCTTCCGCAACATCAAATTCTGCGTCAAGTAGCACACGTAACAGTCGTCAAAATAGCAACTACAATAATAATAACAACAATCAAATTGATCAATTACCCCCGCAGCTGTCCTCGCGTATAATACACACACGCAATGGCGCCATATCGGGCGTAATTGTGCAATTAGATGGACGTCATTTAGATCCGGTTGAAGCATATCGTGGCATACCGTATGCATCGCCACCTGTCGGCAACTTAAGATTTATGCCGCCTGTCTCAGCAGCAATGTGGTCGGGCGTTAAAAAGGCGGATAGGTAAGTTTATGAACAGCATTTCTCAAAATTCAACAACTGTTAAACACACAAAAATTAATGGAATTACGTGCTTAAGGAGGTTATGGGCTATAATGTATTGTCTGTTGTGGCCGTATAGTAAAGTAGTTGAGTTTAAGTAATTGAGTTTAAGTTGTTGAGTTAAATATTTGCAAGGTAAAAAGAATAATGACATTTTAATTATTACGGAATATAAAAATAATGAGACTTTTTGTTATACGAATTTTTACCGCTGCCTACATTACTGAGTTATAGCACAATGCTGAGTGAGTTGTAGTACACACCATTTGTGTATGTAAATTTTACTTTAAAAGACCATACTATTTTTGACTACTTACAATAGCAGCAATCCAAATGTGTCCGAAGCTTTAACTTTCAATGGATGGATTTACATAAGCTGATTATCTAACTATAGAAATATACTTTTTTCATTATTTTAAATGTAATTTTTTTGTGTCATTACTCGGATACCAATTCATTATTCGGTTTTATATGTTAACTACATGTATAACTATTCTTGTCTTAAGAATACGGCTGTATTTGCATTGTAGTATTATCAATGGATGTAATGGTATGCAGAACTGCATTTTATTTACCCTATTGAATACTTTATTTTTAAAGTTACTTTCTTTTAACTAAACTTCCTGACTTTCATGTCTTTAAGGAAAACAATGCAATTTAAATTTTTCTAGAAGATTGCAAAAAAATGACAACAACACCATCCTCAGCTGCAAATCTACAAACCCTCAAGACAATTTGAAACTTTTCTAAAGCAGAAAAAATAAAAATAAAATAAAAAAGGATGTCAAAGTTTGTGTAGGATGAATGGATATGATGGAATACAATACCTTTTCTTGTTGCTCATGCTGCTGTCGTAACATTTATGTTTTTATCATACGACAGACAAAAAAACATATAATTTAACAAAATAAAATGAATAATTTAAGGTTCAAAAAAATGAAAGAAATGTAGTAATCAGTGAGAATATTCCAAAATAAAAAAAAATTAAAAAAATTCCTGCAAAAATGAAAAATACAAAATATTTTTCTAACAGGACCCACAGACAAAAAGAGGCCGTTTGCTTACTTTTGCCCTCGTTTCCAAACTTTTCCAAGAAGACATGAACAAAAAGTATACAAAACAAAAAAAAAATGTTAAATAAAAGAAATCGCACACAAAACAAAATGCTTAAATCATAACAAAACCAAGTGACACCGTAATTTTTCAGTTGGAACAGTAACGAACCTGGCAGGAGGAGGTTTTTGTTCCAACTGCAAGTTTTTCACTCTACCACCTGATGCTACTGTTTTCGTGCTATTGTCACTCCGCCATTGTTACTGGCAGCTGTAGGTGATGTGCCTGTCAAACAAAAATGAAAAGCACAAAATAATTTTAAAAAATATCAATATTTTCCGCAATCTCCTTTCGGGAATAAATTTTACATGAAAACTTTTAAGGTTCTCTTCTGGATATGTCTGTCATATTCTATCATTTCGAGCAATTGAAAAACACTGCACTATGAGTGCAATGTTCGAAAAATAATTGTGTGAATTTTCAATAAAGTATCTCCGATATCAAAATAACATAAAAATGAAAACATTTGGATTGGGAAAAGAATTGATTCTGCTGGGAATATTTTACTATATTGTGAAAGTCTTTATATATTATGGTGAAATCGCCATGCCGTAGTACCACAACTGAGAAAGAAGTTAAAGTTTTTAATTGTTATATTGAAAATCATGAGGAATGCAATCTAAGAGGCTAGAATTATACACAAATAATATATGTGGTCATAGTACACAAATCCTTATGGAGAACGTACAATATTTCTATATAAATATTATTCAGCGTTCGCTTTTTCTAATCTGCTTGATAACTATCGTGTTGGGGTATAAGGTGATTTTGACTAATTCTATGGGAATATTTAAACTAAGTAATTTTACAATATCTTTTTTTAAGGAATGGAAGTATTTTAAATGGATTTGAAGTTCTGTCATTAGAATAAGAGACTTTCACACTTTTGTACTATCATATATGATTAAAATTCACAGAATTGTGTTTCTATAAAAAACCCAGTGAGGAGCTTAATATGAAAGGCCTGTAGCAGAATTTATAAATATGTAATCTGAAATTGATACGACATAAATAACTAGTTTCAATAGACAAAGTAACCAAAAGTCGAGCAGTATAAATTTTCCAATCTATCTTAAACAACTTTTCTTTATGGATATTTTGAAAATGAATTTTCTATAGAACTCACAGCAATGTACTACGTTTCTTAGCAGATTAACAAAGATTTTTAAAGAATTTTAAATCAATATTTACTCCATGATTAATATATCGTGCATTAAATATTATAAATAAATAGAACCTAGGGTCAGGGAATCAACGCCGCCCTATTAATTTTTTATATCTCTAAATGGTACTCATTGGAACATGATTATTATGTACCGCTATTCATTTCCTGAAGAAATAATTTTTGTTATTACCATATTATTATTACTATATTTATAATGGTGGTCCTAAGCATTAAGGATTTTAGCACCTATACTATCAACCAGAGTGAGTAAGCCGATCACAAATCTTATATGTTATATTAAGCTGACAGTGGTCAACTTTACCAGTTCATTCCAGTTGATATACGATTAGGAGTTAATTCTTTGTCTAGTGGCATTACGAGTATAAATGCACTCCTCATGTTTTTAACCGAACAGCTTCCGCAATACCAAACAAGGTCTCAACGATACGTAACAAATTCGATAGCGTGACTAACTATCAAACGCTTATTTGTTATGAGAGACGTAAGAATATTAACACTATTCCTTGTTGATTTATTTTTTTTTCTGACATTTTTCTGGCTTATGTCTTGATATATAAAAAGATCGTTCTTTTTGCCACTCACACTTTACCTCTGTAATATTTTTCTTGTCAAATAAGACATTTGATAAGAAATGTCAGAGATAAGATAAGAAGGCAGAGATGTTCAAATGTGATATCGCAACAGAATCTAAAGAAATAATGCCATATCTGACTATCTTATCAACGATATATCACAAGTAACACAATATATCAATATCGAATACAGGTTAGATAATTGTTATTTGCTTTATTTATCTTATCAAATGATGAGAGATTACTCAATGGTCTTCAAAAGGATAACCACACTCTGGATGTTCTGTTCCAAATCCACCACAGGTTTTGGGTTACAATTACAGGTAGTTCGCTATAGTAGTTGTTATGATAATATAGTGGTACGATTTTACTCAATCTCGAGGAGATTTGCATGTTTTGGGACAGATTTCAGCTGTGCTGCTTGTACTGTGGTACGACTTTGTATATCTAGACCTTAAAATTTGTGTACGATTATTCCTTTTAGTTGTGTCAGATAAGTTATTTTGTATAATATTATTTTCTTTGGATGTGAATAGATTCCTGATTATATGTATTCAATATAATCAATTACTAAACAAGCAGTAAGATAAGTAGGAGGGTTTTTTTTAATATCAATATTGTATATATAATGACACTGCCGAATTTTATTTACATAAAATGTATTTAACCAGTTCTGAAAAATTCTAATCGAAAATAGTATCCTAAGAAGTTCTATAAAAACAAATTGATGTGTTTACTTATTTTAAACAACACAATATATTCTTACTTTTAAATTAATAAAAGGAAGACTAAGCAACACCACCTTTAAACAAAAAAAAATTTAAGTTAATTAAAATTTGTTTTTTGATTAAAATCAAAAAAATATTCATAGATTTATTTATTTCATTTCTGTGTTTTTGAATTAAAATCTTAAACTTCAAAAACGCAAACAACGTAAATCACTCCACTTTTAGCTGTACTATGATGCAGATAAAGTCCACAGCAAAAGTGAAATAAGGGTCCTGCCAGATCTTTAGCAAAATCATTAAGCAAACAAATTCACAGAGATTTCTGTGAAAGTACAAACCGTAAAAATAATTTTCCGTCAAGCCACTAAAGTGTCATCTTATCACCTGAAACGGCTGGACCAACTACACAGCTCCAATGTACTGCAAAGACATTGACAAAAGTTAACACGTCGACTTTAAACCGAAGATGTTTAATCTTAAGGCAGATGCTGCCGCAAACGATGCCTGCCACAAATGCTGCTAGCCGCATTTGGCATAGCCAGCGAAGCCAGTAGTACCAAAGGAAAACATATATAATATTAATTTTAGCGGCAACGAATTTGTTGACTGCCTGCAGCAGGTTTTCTTATATTCTCTTATTCCACCTTGATATGCGCCAGCAGCCACACTTAAAACTTCTATCAATGGAAATTAGGTTGAGGAGCAACACCCACAGATATAAATGCTGCCGGTGTTTGATAATGGAATTGTTGACGATATACGCGATTGCTACTTGTGCTACTGCTGTTACTGTCGTTGTTGTCGTTTTTGTCGTTGTTGTCGCTGTTGTCGTCTGCTTTGTTGTTAGTACTACTGATGTTGTTGATGCTGTTGCTATTGTTGTTGTAGTTACGCGAGTGGCAAAATTAAATAAAATCCAATTTAAAATGAATTTTCACAATTTTCCACCGCAAACTCAATCCTACAGCTAATGGGATCAGTTTGAGTTGTAGTGGTTACTTTTTCTCTTCCTAACCGCTTCCATTGCTGTTGCTGATAAAGCTGCTGTTGTATGCTGCAGTAATTTATGTTTTTCATAGCCTGCGGTGTTACACTTGAGATTCAAATAGAAATTAATGTTTTAATGATGAGATTTTTTCCAAGTTACGCTTTTCTATTTTGCTATTTTTCATTTATTTTGAAGTATCTGCGCTACTCTACACTCGACTAACCGCCAACGACGCAGTGCATAGGGCGCACTTCCACCCAACTTGGTACCTGCTTTTTGAGGTTTTATTATTAAAAAATGAAGGCAGAAATAAAAAAAGGCATGGAATCGTTAACTTGAGTTTTATACACGAGCCGCAATCATTAATCCCAGTT